AACGAATTGCCCATTGGTGAACTGTCCTCGGTTTCATTGCCGGAGGGATATCACGAAGACCAAAACATACCGTAAATATTATATTCAGGTAACACTGCGGTTAAATGTTTGAAAATACTTGTGGATGCTTCTTCTTGCTTTAAAAACTCCGTTACGTATTTGGTAACCTACTGTAAATAGATCTGGCTAAGTTTACACCAATCGTAATATAGGAAAATGTTGTTTCAAGGAAGAACAACGCGATTATATCCGAGTACCCGATCACAGCCAATGTGAAAATTTAGTATAATCTCTCTTTACATCTGTTACATTACGTTTCATTTCATTATGTTCTAAGATTGCACATCTGCTGGAGCAGGTGGCAAAATACAACCATTAATTGAGTTAAACAACAGATGCCAACACTTTGTGTGTTATAGTATCATCCATCAGCCCTGGTAGCGTGAATGAATAGAGCGAACCTGGCGCGAGTTTGCTACTACAAGATTGTGAAGCTTTACAAAGTTTGTTCTGGTAACCGGGTCTGAGGATGCAGCCGGCTCAGCTGTGAAGAAAACATTGACCTCGTTTGTACTTATTTTTCAGACATATGGTAATATGACGACGTATTTTGAGACTTTTCAATGCGTCCGCGTTACGAAGTAGTGCCGTTTCGTGACAGCTGCAATGCCTGACCTTTAAAAAAAATCCTATCAGAAACAAACTAGAACACCCCGCGTTGTCCTACTGTAAAGACCCTAAATGTAAGCTGTTATTCTCGTTTTAAAAGACTTACTATTATTCAGTTTTATGTATTACTTGTACGTTTCCTGCCATACAACCAACACTACAAAAGAACCAGACGTTTTGTTGGCCGTTAATGGGCAGATGCATTGCTGCCGTAACATGCTTTAGGGAATGGGTAGCTAGTTCGTTACATGTACATGTTCGTAGACTAATCTTGCCACCCTAGAGAAATCTAATAGTTTTCTTAAGTAGTGCTTTCTCTCGAGGGAAATGACATTCATTCTGCGCTGTTTTGCCTGTGCCAGAGGATTTGCCGTTCCTAAAGATTTTCTGTACTTTCTAGTTAAAATCGCAAATAAAACCGGCTAAGCATCAGGCACTTGTGTTGCCATTGTTTTGCCAACTTTTGCTCTATTGCACGGGGGATGTATGTGTAATCATTTAATTACCTCCGCCAAGGAGGTTTTGTTTTCACCCCTGTTTGTTTGTTTGTTTGTTTGACTGTCATCAACATAACTCAAAAAGTTATGGACCGATTTTGATGAAATTTTCAGGAACTGTCAGAAGTGGACCAAGGAACAGATTATTAGTTTTTGGTGGTGGTCTGGATCAATAATCAATCAATAATCAATAATAATAATAATAAAATTGCTGCCTTGGCGGAGGTCTGCGCTCTCGGAGTGCTTTTCTAGTTATTGTTATAGTTATAGTTATATATGTTGTTATTATCCCCCATCTTGTACATTCGTATCATATTACATTTCGTCATTTTAATAAATGACAATATCAATCATATGTACTTATTTCTTTTTTGATTTTGAGCAAAAACCGAGCTTCGTTGTGCTTGTGGACATTTGGCTACATAAATTAGTCTGAGAAACCATGGAAAGGGAGTAGCTGCAAGAAATGGTCCTCTGCCAGTAGTCTTAGAGACCTGTTTCAGGCCGCTCATGTCAAGTACATGGCGTGTCTGCTAGGGGGATTTCATACGTACAAATCTTCTTCATCCTGTTAATATCAAGTTATGGTTTTTAATGTCTTATGGTTCATGCTGATGATGATGACAAAGGGGGGGGGGGGGGGAGAAACCTGACAATTTCTCGTCAAACGCCCCCAATTTAATCTCGAACTCAATTTAGACGCTTTTCTTGCCACCGACTGTTATTTCTTTACGTGATCTCTCAGGTCGGAGGCTTGCTTAAGACGGATGACTAAGAAGTACGTACGGGATTTGTAATCAACCGCCTGCTTTCAGCAAAGCCTAAATACGTCTAATCACAAACTGATTAAAACACGAACTTATACCCCCTAGAGGGAGGAGCTGTCATTTTACCGTTAATCACATTCTTTCACTTGTTACTCGATCCTAGATGGGTTCGAAGTTGAGGGAAAAAAATTTATGGTTTAAATTTAATTGGGCGACAGTCCTCATGATGCATGACGTGAAACAAAGCATACCCAAAAGGGACGTTATTTATTTTATTAATTGCACTCTTTCAGAAAGGGAGTATCCCATGATTATTCCTATTCCATTTGATTAAAACATCTGTGTGTATTCTCAAATGGATAAAGTGTCATTTTCTGTCCTTGTACATAGAACTTATCAATTATGTAGGCAATGAGAGAAGCGGTGTATTCGGTGCATTCGTTTTAAAGCGGTAATCAAGTTCTAAGTATTTATTCCACGATTGAGAACAATAGTCTACAGCATGCTTGGAGCCCTGTGCATTGCATCATGGGTCTAAAAGTAAAAATCATAATCCGAGATAACCTATGTTAAGGTTGTCAGCACTGCGTAGCGTCATACAGGACTAGTAAACATTCGAGAATCCGCGTGAGGTGGACCTAACCTTTTAGCAATAAGGGTGAAACACAATGTTCCAGGAATGTCGTCTTAGAAAGCATCACATAAGTAAAACGCAAAACATCGTAAATGCCTCCTATCGTGTGAAAGACTGTTATTCTACGGAACTTAAATGAAGACAACCACAAAAAATTCGTGAATGATTTTTGTCAGCTTTTATTAGTTGCCACACCGCACTCGCTAGTTGGACGTTTTTTCCGACCCCAAGCTCTTCCAAATCCTGCGGCGGGGCAAGTTGGCCCCCCTGACGTCATTTGCGTTTTTTGCTAAATTGTGAGCCATCTGGCGTTATATTTGAAAAATAATGACGTTGCATACGTAGCTTAGTTCGTGGGGCTTACTTTGAAACCGGCTTTGTTACTCTAACTCATTCCTAGTTGGCTCTGCAAGGCCAAAAGTGTCAACTAGCCCCGGTCTTCCCTATGTATTCTATTCCATGCTTGCAGGATACTGCCCTGCTTGCTACGCAAGATCTTGCTACCCACATAGGGACAAGCTGTACTGATTGCCAAATTATCCAGCATACTGTAAGTCATGGAAGGATATATGCATATGGCCATAGTGATTAATAAATAAATACGTAAATAAATATATATAAATACATGACTGACTGACTGACTGACTGAATGAATGAATAGATAGATATAGATAGATAGATAGATAGATAGATAGATAGATAGTTAGATAAAACAATGATATGAAATACAGTAACCGAAGGAAGAACGGTATTTTTTGTCACGTCACACACTCGAAGAATATGAATGATGTTTCCTGTGTAACGTCTGATTTAAAACAAGCAAGCTGCAACATCTTGGATTATTTGTTGACATTGACTGGCAGCAGTGGTCTGAGCCGTCTCCGTTCTTTTTCCTTCCTAGTCATCAGTTTTCCGTTTAATTCAAAGCTGTAGTCCCCAAAACACTGGTTACTGCTGAAAACTCACCTCTGATGACATGCGTATAATACGTTTATAATTAATACCCGATGCAATGTTATGGTTTTCTTGAAAACTTAAGTCAGGTTAAACAATACCAGTAATAGTTAAACAATTAATATTCGGAATAATTATTTGACTCGGTTCCAAACAAAAACACCACTAAACGCATCCAACAAACTGTATATATCATACACCTTACAACTAAACGTTCCCAACATTACTTAACTTATTTTCAAACTAAATGATTGTACATGTAACTAACATTACTAACATAAGTGTGCATATTATATATGGTATACGTGTTGATTATAATTCTTGTTTGGTCTTAGTCATTTTTATCATGTGCTATTACTCTAAATATGTAAATAAATATGCAAATATTATAATTTAAGTTACTGAAAGTCGGGCGAAGTAGTCTAAAGAGGACTTGATTGGCAATTCATCTTTGCTGTAATTGTTCACACGGAGATTTTATATATATATATTTTTTTTACTTTATAAAAATTTCATCTTTTACAGTTTAGGTGAATTGTACATTAATCCTACTCTTCCTGAAGGTTATTAATAAAAAAGATTATTTACGTACAGATCAGACATGGAGACAGATAAGGTCAGTTTAATTTCCATTGCGAGTTCATTTGATGTCAGTGCAAATGTTCGTCACCAAACAACGCAAGGTTATAGGTTTTTAGGAAACCTGTTTTCTCCGAATTGAGTCAAGGATGGACTGATGATTTTCTTAACTCCCTACACATCAATTGTCTCTTGTGGCATTAAGGAAACACTTCAACTCGATGATTATCTGAGTGGTGGTAAACGTTCCGTGTGTTAACCCACCGCTTCCTTTTCAAGATCAGAATAATTCCCACAGCCCCAACTCTGCCCCAAATAAGAGCGGCAGATCGCACTCCGGCACTAACTGAGCCATATTTCCCCTTTATTATCTTAATTATTATCGATGAGTTAGTAGGCAAAAATGGCACATCATTTTTTTAACCGCCTGACCGCCTTCTAGATATCCTGGCTCGGCGGGTAATCTGTATTTAGGGCATGATTCACGTTGTTAGTTCTACTAAGTGTACCTTGCAATTGAGTATTGGGATACGTGTACTTATAACAATAATTATGAAAATAAGTTTATTTAACACCAAGTGGCAATTTCAGGCTGGCTAGGCTGCATAGTTTTCTAATTATTAACTACGTAGGCCTAGGAATATTTGCCTGTCATATGGGAGATTACGTTTTTGTACATTTATGTTTATATTCAAAGAATTATTCAGTGTCGACCCGGTGACCGGCTTTGATGAATTTTGCTGTAAAAAATAGAGGAATCCGCCTGAGTATAAAAGCCGATGGGAATTGCACTTAATTGGCTCCACCAAATAACGTTATTTTAGATACGTGAGCTTTTTCTCTGTAATGATTTGAGCATGACGTAATTTACTTAAAGCGCCCTCTTGTTGTGTTTTTCAGACTCCACAAAGCTTTGCTCTTTCCTCATGGCGAAGACCACGTGACAAGGTACAACAAAACCTGGAAGAATTGCGCCATTTCACGTGCTGGTGAGTGAAGAAGAGAGATAGCACGGACAGAGCTGTTGAACGTCAGCACAAGCGCGTTTTCAAAAAATCTCAACACTGAACACATGGTGGGTTCAGCTGGATTTGAGTAGATTCCAGCAGGGAAAGGATGGATACTGCAACGACGGCGTTCATATTGAACTGTTAGAAAAACAGAAATGTAAGAAGACGGACAGCAGTGTTTTTAAGAAAAGAACGCTTTTATGCCCAATTATTTGAAGATTTTGAGGTCTGATTTTCCATTAGAATCAAAATGAATATTGTACTCGACGTCAACCAGTCTTATCGACCCAATGTCTCCTTGAATGGATCTAATTCAAAATACAGTTTGAACTTAGAAGTACAACGAGAAATTGCTCTTTACTTCAGCTTGGCTGAACTCTTTTCAGTATTGTGTCCGATAATTTTCGGATGTTTTTTACTCGTTGGTGTCATAGGCAATGGTATGGTTATCTACGTGATCCTGGCCAACAAGTATCTCCGAACATGTCCAAATATGCTGTTCCTGAACTTGGCCATAGCGGATATGCTCTTTTTGGTTTTCTGCGTTCCCCTTCAGAGCGCTTTCTACATCAAGCGGTTCGATTTGACTCTCGGAGAGCCTCTGTGCAAACTATTCAAATACACGATATTCGTCACCATGTCCGTCAGTGCGTATTCTCTCATGATCATTTGTGTGTTCCGGTGCATTGCAGTAGCCTTTCCCCTGCACGCGTCTCGGATACTGACCAAACGCTACGCCCTGGTGGCCAGTGCCGCCATCTGGTTGAGCATGGCGATTGTTAACTCGCCATTAGCTCTGTATTACACTGAAAGTAATAATTCCACAGGAGCCTGCACGATTACTTACCATCACAAAGACACCATCACGTCGATCACGGTGGGAGTAGACTTCTTACTTCCAATAGTCATATGTTTCGTTGGGACCACATTTATTATCACCGCTCTGCGACGTAACAGAGGCGTCATACGAGAAATGGAAAATGAAACGATGGAAAGGATTGAAACATCGAGACGTAGTACTCGTAAATTGGTGATTCTTGTCGTATCAGTCGCAGTTGTATTTTTTGTATTTTGGGCACCGTTTCTCATCATTTCTGTTTTGAACGCCCTGCCCATAGTGGGGACTATGGATACAATTACAATATTTGTTGCAAGTGTGACTGCTCAAATTTTGGCCTTTTCAAACTCGTGCGTCAACCCCATTATTTATAATTTTGTGTCCACGGACTTTAGGAGAGCGTTCCGAAGGGCCATACAATGTCGGTTCAGCCGGATGCGGCAATCTCACCAATCGTCTGCTGAAACAACGCGCAGTGATATATTACTGAGAGAAAGGACTCTAATTAAGAAAAGCTTCGCCTAATTAATCCGCTGCCACCATATTTTACCGAAGCCATGATATTAATGAAAATATTCCTAATGATTGATGACTAAAACTCGCATCACATGTACCAGTTGATACCATTTTCCAATCAGGCCCAAACTTCTGAGGTCAAATAAATTCAGCTCATCTTAGCGTTAAGATCACATTACACACGTTTAGTCAGTTGTTCGTGTTCGTAATGGTTAAAAGTCAGGTGAGTTCGGAGTGAAATGTGAGAATAAATACATCTGCGTAGTTGGCATGATGTATGCATTTTATCCATCACTGCCAGAATTTTTTTTATTATATGTACCCAATCACCCAGACACATGACCTCGTAATCGTGTTGCCCTGGAAACTCAAGCCGTTAGGAAAATGATAGTTATGCTTGAAATATGATCTCAGAAGAAGTTAACAAGGTGAATCAGTCAGTAAGAAACACACAGGCGGTCGATAATGGTTATTGAATATTTAGAACAAACAGTACATTATAATCATCATTACTTCGGTCACTTTTCGGAAGCGATCTCGTTAGGGGGTTGCAATGACATTGTATGCGAGAAATGAGATATTTTGTAATCATTTGTAAAACCGTAGAGCTATGTCGTGAAATAATTGTTATCGTTTTTCTATCGTATTATAGTATAAATCATATTTAACTGGACATTCTGATAATCGATTTCGTAACATGGTCAGGCAACTTGGCAAGCAACGAAAGTTTGGCTGTGATTTCTGTGAAATGAGAATTGAAGAGCCCAACCATTCTCTGCAAGGGAAATTGTTCCTTTTCACCAAAGAAGTTATTGAAATATTTAAACGAAATAAAGTTGTCAATAAATTTTACCATTTGGAAATGCATGACGTACAATGTACAAGCGTTCCTAATTAGGTGGAGTTGGAACAGTGTCGTAGCACATGTAAGGCGACAATTAAGCAAAATTTATTAGCCAAACGAAGCCAACAGTAAATTTATCCTTGCCAAGAAGATTTTCTGATAAGCCAATTCATTCATTTCAATTTCCATACATTTCGCTAGACGTTATCTGAAACCCACCAAGTTGTGAAAACGGTTCAGGGAGTATTTTGAGTGGGAAGGAATCCATGAGCAATTCCTCTGATAAAATTCTATGCCCAGTAAGCGCGTAATTGCGGAGAGATGAGGCATAGAAAATTGCTTTATCATCGGTTAGGTCTCTGCCCACTGGGACTAGGGGGTTCATGAGAAATTTGTTGAAAAAAAAAACACATTCTGAATAATTACGAGGTAGATCGATAAAGCAAGTTTTGCCCGGTGTTCAGATTATTTGAATTTTTAGATTTGTTCATTCCTTGAGAAAAAGTTAAGGTGCTCTCCGGGCAAGCTGTCATATGTAAAATCCTTTAATAAACGATATATATATATTTATATTTCTGAAGACAAATCCTTTAGTCTAAAAATAGGAAGACAGACATCCAGCATGCCTGAAAGTTTCCGATGGTTCAGAATGTTACGTGGGTCTAAAAACTGTTTGTGGAACTTCTGTCCTAAAATATATATATAACGTTGTTTGGTGATGAACATTTGCACTGACATCAAATGAACTCGCAATGGAAATTAAACTGACCTTATCTGTCTCCCTGTCTGATCTGTACGTTATTAATCTTTTTTATTAATTACCTTCAGGAAGAGCAGGATTAATTTACAATTCACCTAAACTGTAAAAATTCGAATTTTTATAAAGTATTTATGTATGTTTACACTATCAACTCTCTCTATCAATTACAGTATGGAGGCACTCCATGATCATCATTGTTATTATTAAAATTGATTAATTGCTACACAGGCCTTAGGGCAGTCATTTTCTATTGTGTCTGTGAATATGCATTTTGTTAAACTGTTTTGTAACCTGTTTTAATAATTTTGTTATTTTGTTACGATCACATGAATTTCTGGTTTAATGTCGAATGAAAAAACTGCACAACAGTTGAATAAAACTTATAAAAAATCGTCTGCCTCTTTTTTTGATTTATCCCAACCTAGACAATACAGACTATTAACCTGGTTGATGTACGTGCCCAGTTCTTCAAAATCCGATGCTAGCCGTCTTGATTTGGCAAATACAGCAATTTTGTTCCAATCCGACTCACGTAAGTTCCGTTATTAGAATCAGGGGTATGTTTCAAGTGATATCTCTCAAGACAGAAAATTGGTCTAAACTTATGTTTTAGTCTACTTTGAATCAAATCAGCAGCAGTCAATTCAATTGTGATTGTATGCCTTTTTGTAACAAGACAAATTGTCACTGTTTTTATGAGACTTCTGCACAATAATCCTTAATTGCAGTAGACCTGTTTTGGAAAAAATCATGGCCAATATTAAAATATTTGTTGCGCTTTCCAATTTAAACATTTGTAGAACGTGTAGACGCACGGAAAATGTAATATCATTGAAAAAAAATATTTCGGGCACAACCGCTTATTACACGATGTTTATACGTGTAATCTTTGTTTTTACTTATTTTTTCACTTACATTTTGGATTTTGGACACAACATTTCCATATGTTCAAGCATGTCCCAATACCTTGAAGCAAAGAAATGAAACAAACTTATAAAGGCAATATATCCGATACCACGTTCATGGTTTGAAACTGTGAAGTGAATCTAATTTTAGTCTTATCCAGAATCGGATCACATCGCTGGCATGCTGATGTGTGTTATCTTGTCTTTAAAAGGTACATTCGTATTTGAAATAGAGATTTCAGTGCTCCAACTGTACATTGACTTAAGTGCGGCTTAAATATGATATTAAGCTGATTGGTTTTCTGCGTCTGCTAGTGGTTGCAATTTGACGTAAGACGGAATCAATTTGAGCCTCCACCTTACCCGATCTGACATGCGACAAATGAATGTTGTGCTTCTGTTTGTGGAGCATTTTCAGTCTGAGGTACTCATGCACAATTTGTGAAGTTGATTGGATTTCCTGTCAGATTAAAAACACAAGCAGGTTTTGAACAAGATCTTGCCGCCCACATGCCGCGCGCTGTACATACATTCCTATCCAATGGCGTTGGTTTGCGGGAATACACTTAAATTCGTATTATATTTATTTTTCAGTGTATTAGGTTAGTTGCATATATTCTGGATGATTGGCGTAACCAAAGTTAACTAATGCATTAGAGATTCCAAGGCATTTTATGTCGTATATATGGTTAATCTTTCCCTAATATGCTCGATCTACGTGGCATAACCGCAAGTTCAGGCGATTTTACCGTCCGCGAAATTGGCATCATGAATGAAATCAATTAATGTTGAAAATGAACCAGATGCTCTGCGCCTACCGCCTGGGACAACTTGAGAAAGCTTTAAAGCCATTATGAAAACAGGCAAAGGGTAGCCTGTCTAACTCCTCGCCAATTATTTCCTCCATGTGGAATTTCAATATGCAATCACTGGAAATGGGACACCGGCGGGGAACAGTTTTCAATGAGATTTAAGTCTCTTTACATCTCTTTTCAGCTTAGCGCTGATCCTACAGCCGAAAAGATAGTTTATGACCACGGAATTTTGTTGTGAACAACATTGATCAGGGCATCTATAAGGCATTATTTTTTGAAAAGCGATGAAAATACCAAACTTTGGGCTTTGATACTGACATGACTGCGTTTGTTGTACATGTACGTAAAGGGCTAATATCAACTGTCGCAATATATGCCGCAATCCATTTTTCTCACCTATTGCAGTAGATAAATGATACCAACTATTAGATATGTACATGTATATGTTTTGTACATGAATTATCGCTTTGCATACTGAATTTCTCGCTTTAAGTCTTAAAGTTTTTTCAGCGAAATTGTCAAACAACAAAGGTTTATTGCATTTAATAGACGGAATTAAGCTTTTGGTATAACTGACTTAGTCAGCGATTTGAATGTTTAAAGCAGAGCATATAGGCCCCAGTCTTTGTCAATAAGAACTAATTTTCTAGGACAAGAAGAGGAACATTGCCTCCCAGAACTATCATTTCAAGCTAATTTTGCGGTAGTATTTTCCCTGTCGGTGAATGAGCTTGTAAATCACTGATAAACTTACACTTACTTACTTTGAAAATATTTTTCTTTTTGATTTCTTTTCATTTTCAAGCCCATCGGATTATTAGATTTTTATGAAATAAATATTTATCATTTACAACGATGGTGGTTTGGGTTCGTTTTTTTTTCTTTTTTTTTTNATGGTGCAAAAAAAACAAAAAAAAACTGATTACTTCAAAATTAGTAGCTGTTGCGCTCGTTAACAAACTAATCAATTTTATCTGGTCCAAATAAAAATGTAGACTCACTTATACACAATATCAACTGATATAAATGTACAATGTCAACAATATTATATAATAATAATAATAATAATAATAATAATAATAATAATAATAATAATAATTGAGAGGGGGAAAAGGAATTCACCGCATCATTTTAGGTACATTCCGCCAGGTAACAAAACAGCTACTTTATCCTCGAACTAACATTAGATGATTGATGCAAGTCCATAATTTTGTTCTTTACATTGTGCATGTACTGACAATCATCAAGTACCAGTTGACTCACAATGGCGGCAGAACATGCCTGACTGAAAACGTGATAATGAGAGTAATCAATCGCTACATTACTATTTACACACCAAAGGAAAAGACGAGAAATTACTACTGCCTTTATAACACGTGAAAAATAGTTTTAAATATCAAGAAATCACACTGTTTTGGTAGCTGCGCGTGGTATAAAAGAGTTAATTTTAACAGTTATGTGCTGTTAGCTACAATATGCGCCATGGTAATAACAATAAAATGAACTCGAACTAAGTGACATTCCTAAAGAAAAAAAAAACGTCTTGCACGGACGGTTATAGCAATACAGAAACCAAGGTTGAACTACAAGACTTTAACTACTCTTAACCTTTTCTTGGATATTATCTTACGTCGCTGTACAGGTGCGCACTAATACAGATAACTTTATACTACCTTGTACATGTAGGCCTATTTGCCGTAAAATTGACAACATATGGACAACTAGTGCATGGTTTCCACGGCAACAATGTCACATTGACTAAAGAAAATTTATGAGAACAAATTTTGTCGCATGATAGAATTAAATTGTTTGCAATTCTTTTGCTGATCAAAGGTTAAGTAACCTCACAATATGATAATTGATTCCAATCACTAGATTCATGCCTTTCAAATTTTAAAATGCAGTTTCACTTTTTTTAAATTTAATTCAAAATATCTTTATCAAATTACGGTTAGGTAATATAATGTTTCACTAATGATCATTGACGTGATACAAAGTAACCACTAATTAAGTAATTAACAAATCTTTTTTATTTGCTCTTGACATACGACAAATAATGTTTTCAAATGTATAATCTTTAGTTCCAATGTATATATAATCTTTGGTTGAATGAAATGTATATGTAATGCTCTCACCCAAGGTGTGTTGGCTATATACCATTACTCCATTTTAAACAGACACTTAAATTTCACAAAATCAACAATAATACAACGTTGGTCGTAATTAATATACATGCAGTTTAGATATCAAGTTTTAATATATGTAGTTTAATTCTTCTTTTTCTGTGGTTTAAAGGATTTTTTCTTAGTTTCATCCACTCTATTATACGCATTAGGCTTGCAAATATTCAAAAGTTGGGCTTCAATTTTAAAGAACTTCCCTTCAGAATCGGACTCAGAACAAAAACGTTATGTTCCTTAAGCATTTCATTTGACACTTGAAACAACATCAATATTGGGTAAAAAGGAAAAGTAAAGGCGGGGAAATAATAATACAGGTAATGGGCAAATACTACTCGTTGTATACTGTGTACGGAAATCTCACTTCTGCTTCTCGAACATTGACGACAACAGATCTCAGAAAAGCACCCAGAGAGTGCAGACCTGTTCCAAGGCAGCTCAGTTCTCACGTGTCAGGCGGCGGCCGAGGCCTGTATGGATCGAAGAAGAGTTACGTGATATTAACCATGAACATAAAAACTTATAGAAGGTGATGTATCTCCAAGTCTCTTTTGTGGGAAAATTTTATACGTAGAAATCATACCGTAACGTCTGAGCAAAGCCTCAAGTTACATCTATCAACAATTCTAGAACATACGTAACCGGCTAAACCTGGTTCAAATTTGTTCTTATAACACATATGTTATACCACCTATGCCATATTATATAACCACGAAAGGACTAGTGCCAGTACGAAAAACCACCCCGTACACACCGAAGCTTCAGTGGACGCCGAGCCGGACATGGGGGGACGTGTAGTGACACTTGCAGCGGGCGAGGCTTCCTTTTGTTCGGTGGGGTTATCATTGAGACATTCTTCCAATTGGCTATTTCGGATAACGTATATAGGCACTTTGGTCCCATTGTATGCAATGGTTGGCTTGTTTGCAGCTATCTTAGCCTCAAGTTGTAACAACATACGGAAGCCTTCATTGTAGTTTCTGACAAATTTTGTAAGCATTATCGGTATGGAGGTTTGAAACATGGTGGCGTTTGTGAATTCTTTGTTCTGTTCACCTGAGAGAGCCGTGATATTCAGGAAGTAACATTCGGGCTGCTTAAATTTATATATTTCCCAATTACCGTAATATAATTCAAGCAGGTTGAGGGGACCTTTATCTCTGGCAAAAACAGAAGCTGCAAACGATCTACATTCGGTTAATGTCTGGGCGACATTAGCACTTGAAGGAAAACTTAACGCAATGGTAAGAGTAAACAACGTATTGAAAAGAAAAGAAAACGGGTTTGGACAGTCGTCTCCATCTCTCCTCCCAGGGCAAGCGATCTGAATAAAAGAAATACAGTTCTATGCAATGTACATACCTACATCTAGGAAACGTCATAGAACTCTGTCTGACCAATGCTTTAAAATTAAAGTACTGAACTTAATCGCAACAATGCCG